TTGGTAGAATTTCCCTGGGAAGCCCTGCAGCCCTGGACTCTTGTTTGCTAGGAGATTTTTGATTACTGCTTCAATTGCTTTGCTAGTTATCAGTCTGCTCAGGTCTTCTATTTCTTTCTGTTTCAGTTTTGGTAGTTCATATGTTTCCAGATTGTGTCCATTTCTTCCAGATTGCCTAATTTGTTGGCATATAGTTGCTCATATATTCTTTAAATTCTATTTCCTTGGTGTTGGTCATGATCTCTCCTCTTTCATTCATGATTTTATTTGGGTCCTTTCTCTTTTCTTTTTGGTAGATCTGGCTAGGGGTTTATCGATCTTATTAATTCTTTCAAAGAACCAGCTTCTTGTTTCATTGATCTGTTCTAATAGTCTTTTGGTTTCTACTTCCTTGATTTCTGCTCTAATCCTTATTATTTTTCTTCTCTGGCTTGGTTTAGGTTCTATTTGCTGTTCTTTCATGAGCTCCTTTAGATGTAAGGTTGGCTTGTGTACTTGAGACTTCTCTAATTTCTTGAGAGAAGCTTGAATTGCTAGGTACTTCCTTCTTAGGACCACCTTTGCTAAATCCCAAAGGTTTTGAACAGTTGTAGTTTCATTTTAATTTGTTTCCATGAATTTTTTAAGTACTTCTTTAATTTTCTGGTTCACCCATTTATTCTTTAGTAGGATGCTCTTTAACCTCCAAGTGTTTGAATTCCTTCCAAATTTCATCTTGTGATTGAGTTCAAGTTTCAAAGCATTGTGGTTGGAAAATATGCAAGGAATAATCTCAATCTTTTGGTACCTGCTGAGACCTGATTTGTGACCCAGTATGTGATCTATTCTGGAGAATGTTCCATGTGCACTCCAGAAGAATGTGTATTCTGCAGCTTTAGGATGAAATGCTCTGTCCATTAGAAAAAAAAAAATCAAATTTCCTTTTTGATCTTCTGCTTAGATGATCTGTTTGTTGCTATGAGTCGGGTTTTGAAGTCTCCTAATATTATTGCATTATTATTAATGTGTTTCTTTAATTTGGTTATTAATTGGTTTATGGGATTGGCTGTTCCTAAATTAGAAGCATAAATATTTATATTTGTTAGATCTTCTTGTTGGATAGACCCTTTAGGTATGATGAAGTAGTCCTCTTCATCCCTTACTACGGTCTTTGATTTAAATCTAATTTGTCTGATGTGAGAATTGCTACCTCAGCTTTCTTTTGATGACCACTGGCATGATAAATGGTTCGCCACCCCCCCACTTTCAATCTGGAGATGTCTTTAAGTATACAGTATAGGGATGGGTCTTCTTTTTTATCCAATCTGATACCGTGTGTCTTTTGATTGGAGCATTTAGCGCATTTATATTCAGAGTAACTATTGAAAGATACTAATTTATTGCCATTGTATTACCTGTAAATCCTGTTTCTGTAGATTGTCTGTTTCTTTCTAGTCTATGTTACTGTTGGGCTCTCTCTTCACTTACAGGATCCCCTTTAATATTTCTTGCAAGACTAGTTAAGTGATCACAAATTCCTTTATTTTCTGTTTGTCCTGATAGCTCTTTATCTCTCCTTCCATTCTGAATGCTGGCCTTGCTGGATAAGATATTCTTTGCTGCATGTTTTTCTCATTTATTGTCCTGAATATATTATGCCAGCCCTTTCTGACCTGCCAGGTCTCTGTAGATAGGTCTGCTGCCAGTCTACTGTTTCTACCATTGTAGGTTATGGAGCTCCTGCCTCAAGCTGCTTTCAGGATTTTCTCTGAAATCTGCAAGCTTCACTATTATATGTTGGGGTGTTGATCTATTTTTATTGATTTTGGGGGGCAGTTCCTCTACCTCTTGGACCTGAATGCCTGTTTCCTTCTCCAAATTAGGGAAGTTCTCAGCTATGATTTGCTAAATATACCTTCTGTCCGTCTCTCTCTCTCTCTTTCTTCTTCCTCTGGACCCCAATAATTCTAATATTGATTCATTTTATGGTATTGCTGATTTTTTGAAGCCTCCCCTCATGGTCCATTAGTTGTTTTTCTCTTTTTTTGTCAGCTTCCTTCCTTTCCATTATTTTGTCTTCTATGTCACTGACTCTCTCTTCTACCTCATTTACCCTAACTGTTAGAGCATCCAATTTAGACTGCATCCCAGTTAGAGAATTTTTAACTTGGGCCTGATTAGATTTTATTTCTGCACAAAGAGATTCTCTAGTGTCTTTCATGCTTTTTTCAAACCCAGCTAATAACTTTATAATCATTATCCTGAATTCCAGCTCTAACATTTTATCTATATCCATATCACTTAGATATGTGGCAGAGAGTATTACATCTGGTTCTTTCCTTTGTTTTGAATTCCTACTAGTTATTTTGCCCACAGAAGAATGGATGAACAAGAGAACAAAACAACAACAAAAAATCAACCACAATAGACATATCCAAAGAGGTCAGAATCCAAAAAAGGAAAGAAAAAGAAAAAGAAAAAAGGGGGAAAAAGAGAATATAAAATCCCAGGTGGACAAAACAGGGTGATCGACTTTGTCCTGGGTGTATTTGGGTCTGTTTGTTAGAAGACACTAAATCTCAAAATTGTAAAGAAAGCAAAACTTATATATAAACAAAAATAAAATTTAATACAATGAAAGCCAGAAATGAAAATATCTATAAAATATAAATGTAAAAATGTTAAATATTAAAAATTCATGTTAAAAAATTAGAAACAAAGAGTTGATAAAATAAGGAAATAGCTGAAAAGGGGAAATTTTTTTTTAATTTTTTTTTTAAATTTTTATAAACATATATTTTTATCCCCAGGGGTACAGGTCTGTGAATCGCCAGGTTTACACACTTCACAGCACTCACCATAGCACATACCCTCCCCAATGTCCATGACCCCACCCCCCTCCCCCCAGCAACCCTCAGTTTGTTTTGTGAGATTGAGTCACTTATGGTTTGTCTCCCTCCCAATCCCATCTTATTTCATTTATTCTTCTCCTACCCCCTTAACCCGGCCATGTTGCATCTCCACTTCCTCATATCAGGGAGATCATATGATAGTTGTCTTTCTCCAACTGACTTATTTCGCTAAGCATGATATCCTCTAGTTCCACCCATGTCGTCGCAAATGGCAAGATTTCATTTCTTTTGATGGCTGCATAGTATTCCATTGTGTATATATACCACCTCTTCTTTATCCATTCATTTGTTGATGGACATCTAGGTTCTTTCCATAGTTTGGCTATTGTAGACATTGCTGCTATAAACATTTGGGTGCACATGCCCCTTCGGATCACTACGTTTGTATCTTTAGGGTAAATACCCAGTAGTGCAATTGCTGGGTCATAGGGTAGCTCTATTTTCAACATTTTGAGGAACCTCCATGGAAAAGGGGAAAATTTTTAAATTGAAAGATAAAAGAATCATGAGAAAAAGCTCTCAAATTCTATATAATATTTTCCACTAGTGCTGGAGTTTTGCAATTCTGTGTGCTTGGTAAACTTGATATTCCCCTGATGCTATAGCTGGTCATCTTGCAGAGGGACTTGCTGTGCTGATTTTCATGTGTCTTTGCCTGGGCAGAGTTGTACCACCCTTTGCCAAGGGGCCAGGCTCAGTGTAAGCTGCTTTGGGTTCTTCTATGTAGCTTTCATTCCCTGGAGGCTTTCTGTGCTACTTCAGAGGACCAAAATAAAAAACGGCAGTGCACTGATCTCCAGCCCTGGAGCTGAAAGATGGCGGCCCCCTTTCTTCCTTAAACCCTCAGGGAAAAGCAATCTTCACTTTTCAGAGTGCCAAACTCTGCAGACTCCTGCTCTATGCACACACAACAACCCTCCTTGTGGAAGGAAGGGTTGCCATAGGCCTGCAGGGCCCCTGCATAGACAGCGGGTTTGTGGTTTATGGCACAAACCAGTTTGTGGTTTATGGCAAACCAAGCTGCAAGCCCACTCCCGGGCTCACTGACCATAGCCACCCTGCTCCAGTGCTTGGGAACTATGCCAGCTCAGGCATCCCTGTTCTTTCTGTGACCCCAGGGATCTCGAAACCACACTATCCCATCTAGAATTCTGCCCCACTTTGCCACCTGAGCACCTTTCAGGCAGGGACATCTCTCAGTGGGGCAGACTTCTAAAAGTCCCGATTTTGCACTCTGGGGCTCTATCACTTTCCAGTAGCTGATTTATAGAGGCTCCCTCTCCCCACTGTTTATCATACTATATTACATTTCCTCAGATTCACTTCTCCACACCTCTTCCTTGCAAAAAATGGTCGTTTTTCTATTTGTAGAATTCCAGCAATTCTTTTCTTACATCTCAGGTTGAATTCATAGGTGTTCAGAATGCTTTGACAGTTATCTAGCTAAATTAAAGGGACTAGATGAAACAAGGTCCTTTATTCTTCTGCCATCTTGCCCCCCTCTCCCAACTACAGCATTTTAGATAATATTTTACCTAATGGGCTTACCTAACTCCTTGGTCAAGCTGTCTATTCCAGCGTTGCCACCCATATACCCAGATTTATTTGGTATTATCTGATGTATGCTACAAATGTTTGGTCAAATGATTACTAACAGAGAATTATAGAGCAGAGTCATATATTCTCAAGTCCTAAGAAATAGATGGCCCCATAACAAGGTGATCAATTCTGATCTGCTACCAAATCTGGTGGAGCTTCTTTTGTCAAAGGTTTATAAACTGAAAACTACCATTTTTCAAATATAAGTGATTTTTGTCTTTTTTTCCTTCACCTATTTAGCAGGATTCTAGTTATCTAGAATGGCTGAGTGGCAAACTAAAAGCGACATATTCTTGAGTTATCTTTCTGGACATTGGTGTCATTCTAAAGATATAGTCACATTTACAGTGACATTTACATATACAGTAAACATACAGACGACCCATCATTGTCAACACAAAAATATGCTACGTATTAAGGGAAGACTTGACTCATCTGGTTCCTATGATCAATAACTTTAGCAAAATCTCTTAGGTGTCATGAGCAAAGAGGAAAAAACTATATACATACTTCAGATTTTAATATATTCTTCAGCTTGTTAACCTCCAAATTAGTATCTTGGACCTTCTGTTTTATGTCATTAAGTTCATTGTGCGTATCATTCAATTTTTTAGACAGGGCCTATAAGAAAAAGATAGCTAGATTTGACTATGAAAAAGTAAAAAAAAAAAACAAAAACTCTGTGTCAAAAACTACCATAAATTTTAAATATTTTTAATAAATAGTAATAAATAAAAGTTAATATACCTAATATACAAAACTCATAAAAACCTAAAACACCCCAAATCCTCATGCCTTTTAATATCACACTCTTCACCTTAAGACCTTGTAACTCCTTCCAGTGAGTCAAAGTCCATTTAACTTGCCTTCACAATTTGTTTGGCTAATGGAACAATAAACAATATAACACAAATACAGACTAGAAAATTATTTATTTATTTATTTACTGGGACTTTCTGTTTGCTGCTTTTGAGAATACTGCAACTATTACCATGTGAATAAATCTGGGTGAGGCTGTGGGATTATGGGAGACATGAGGCCCATCATCCTACTAGTGAAAAAACAAAACAGAAAACACAAGAATCAAAATAGTAAATAAGTGAAGAACCCAAGCAGAAAATTCACAAAGGAAGCACAAGTAGATAATACTTGAAAAAAGTTAAAATTTACTAGTAATCAAAAATATGTTTTTAACTTTTTAAACTTTTAAGATTTTTACATTTTAATTTTAAAAATAATTTTTAAAATCAAATACTATATTGCCTATCAAATCAGCAAAGAATTAAAGTTACTCTGTTATGGCAAGGAATAAGCATTTCCATGTATCTTGGTGTAAACATAAATTTGCAAAAAGCAAATCTGTGATCTGCTATTTGTTATCTATCATCTATTTCAAGAAACATTTTTAAATGTTCATAAAAACAGGAAAGACAAATATGTTTTAGAAAAAACGAATTTTTTGAAGGTGGTACATAGATACATAAGTATTCACTACCTTTGAAAACGTCCACTTAGAAAAGTTTTTTTTTTAAATTTATAAAACAAACTTCATAAACTCTGATTTGATTTAAAACTAAATCTAGAAAAATTTAACATAACAAAGAATGTTCACTAAGGCAGTATCTGTTATGGTGACAATATTCACATTAAGTGAATGATGTCATAAAAAATAGTATCTACATAGTCCACATACAAGATATCTATGAGAAATGTTTAGAATAACTTTTTAAAAAGATTTTACTTATTTATTTGACAGAGAGAGAGAGAGAAAGCACAAGCAGGGAGAGTAGAAGGAGAAGCAGGCTCCCCGCTGAGCAGGGAGCCCGATGTGGGACTTGATCTCAGGACCCCGAGATCATGACCTGAGCCAAAGGCAGTCGCTTAACCATGTGAGCCACCCAGGTGCCCCTAGAATAAATTTTAATAACAGAGGAAAATGTTCATCTATATTTTGTTAAAAAGTCAGGATAAAACACTAAAAATACTTCCTCCTAATTTGTTAAAAATTATGATTTTGAGGACGATATTTTTTTAAAGGCTTCTGCTTTCTAAATTTTCTATGATATGGTACTAAACTTGTGGTCCACAGAGGGATCCATCTTCTATCCCTTGGGCCTATAACTCAAACAAAGGGAAAAAACTACTCCTGAACAAATGTAAATTGTTTAAACAACAATTTTCTTATGATTATTAGAAAACATTTATGAAGTTTTAACAAAGCAGAGGAGTGCTTATGATGTCACAGTAAGCTAATAATAGCTACAAGATATTTATCCAGTGATTATGTTAGACGATCCAATGAGTGCTTTCCAGGAATATTTTCATTTGCTCTCCATTTCTACATATATAAACTGAGATTCAAAGAAGTTAAATGGTATGATCCCACAGCCAGGCAGGACATTCAAACTCATGAATCTTAAATACTCCACTCTTCTGCCTTATCATGTAGAAAAAAGCTTGATATAAAATGGCATGTGGTTTTATCCCAGTTACATTAAAAATTCATGTAAATGAAAGTATAAAAAGTATTTAAAACACATGGAAAATCAGTAAAAAAAAGTATGTTAACATATTTTTACCATTTTACCATTTACCATTAACATGGTAAAAAGTGTTCAATCTAGTTTTTCATAAATATAAGGTATATTTACCTTTAGTCTACTTGCTCTAGCTATAAGTAGAGTGTATAAAAGTAGATCCTATTTATGTTTTTTATTGCTATACATTAACTTAAAAAAAACTCTCAGAATAATTTTAGATTTACAGAAAAGTTGTGAAATTGGTACAAAGAGGGGCACCTGGGTGGCTCAATGGGTTAAAGCCTCTGCCTTTAGATCAGGTCATGAATCGGGCTCTCTGCTCAGCGGGAAGCCTGCTTCCTCCTCTCTCTCTCTGCCTGCTTCTCCGCCTACTTGTGATCTCTGTCTGTCAAATAAATGAATAAAATCTTAAAAAAAAAAAAAAAAGAAAATGGTATAAAGAGTCCCCATCTACCCTATACTTGATGTCTTCTTACATCAGTGTGGTATAATTATCACCATTAATGAAACAAATTGATATATTACTAACTAAAGTCCACATTTTATGCAAAATTGCTTCATTTTTATATAGTATGCTTTTTCTATCCCAGGGTCCCATTATTCACTAACTTTTTTTAAGAAAAGATTTTATTTATTTATTTTCAGAGAGAGGATGTGTGAGCAGGGAGAGGGGCAGAAGGAGAGGGAGAGATAGAATCTCAAGCAGACTCCCTGCTGAGTGTGGAGCCTGATGTGGGCTTGATCTCACCTGGGCTCAATCTCCCCACTGTGAGACAACGACCTGAGCTGAAATCAAGAGTCAGAAGCTTAACCAACTGAGTCACCCAAACATCCTTCATTAATATTTGATCAAAGTATTTTAACAGCTCAGGCAATTTTTTTTTAAAGATTTTATTTATTTGACAGAGATCACAAGTAGGCAGAGAGGCAGGCAGAGAGAGAGGAAGGGAAGCAGGCTCCCCACTGAGCAGAGAGCCCGATGCTGGGCTCGATCCCAGGACCCTGAGATCATGACCTGAGCTGAAGGCAGAGGCTTTATTTAACCCACTGAGCCACCCAGGTGCCCCAGTTCAAGCAATTTTTTTTATAATTAACAAAGCATTGCAGTTTTATATCTGTTTATATAAATTAAAAATATTTAACAATTAAAACTACAGACTTTCATGATGCAAACTAAACACACTGAGAGTGACAGCAAGTGAGGGAACCATTTAGACTAAGTCATTTTAAGTGGGGCAAGAAAGCTTCCCAAAAGAGTTTTTAATGCTCAAATTAAAATAATGATATTGGAAATGAAAAGAGTGGATATACCGAAATATATTGGCTTAAGGAGGGAATAATTATAAAATTTCCCAAAGAATCATAGTGCTAAAGAGGACCAAAATATGTAGCATAGTCCATACACTCATACTTAAACAGAATAATCGTCCATCAAATAAATCTATCCGTCTCTCAAAAGTTTCTGAAGGCTTTTATCTTTCTTTGTTAATTTGTTCAAATATTTATTGTCAAGGAAGTACTTCCTAAGGTTTAATATAAATCTATTATATCACCACTCCCTCTCTCCTTTAATACTTCATGTCTGAAAATTTCATTTAGAAATTATGTGTCATATTCTGTGTAATAAAGATTAAAAAATGGCTGATTCCAAAGTCTGAGCTCTTCTACAAAATGAAATGAGGACTGTGTCTCAGAATAAAACAAAAATTTTCTTGGAGAAAAAAGATTCTAGGTGGAAGTATACCTGGTTTTCTTGTTTAGCTTTAGAAAACTGTTCTTGGAGACCGTCATTCTCATGAGCCAAGAGATCTCTCTCCCTGGCAATCTGAGCCAGCTCATCATTTGTTTCATCCAATTGCCGACGCATTCTGGAAATGTCTTGTTCACACATAATTAGGGCTTCAGTAGACTGTCTATTCCACAGATCAGATAATACATAAGTAAAGACATTTTACCAAAAACAGAATAACAAATTCTCATAAGATAGAAGAGTGACAGTTAAGCAAGAAAACATTTGACATTTTAAACACACTTAAAATTTAAATATAGTTCACAGGAATTTCTCTATGTTGCTCACAGTTCACAATAAAAAGGGAGGTTAAATATACATAATAGTCAATGATTTGCTAAGTATTTCAAAACTTCTGACATTCAAGTATAAGAAAGCCTTCATTCTACCTCTAGCTGCTATAGCTTAGTCTTCTTTGCAGGTACTTTGTCCTTTGTCCTCTTAAAAATTAATGGTTCTCAGGGCTTAACTCTCAGACTCCTTCCTCTTCTCACTCTACCCCTTCCTCAGAAAATCCATTCATAGCCATGGCTCCCAGCCGCATCTTCAGATGACTCTGAAATCTTATCTCTAGCCTCAGCCTCTTCCTTAATACTTCAAAATCATATTTAACTGATTACTAGACATATCTACAGGAAAGTCTCAAAGGTTCTTCAAATTCAGTGGAAAATCATGTGTTTCCACATACTTTCTTAACGCCCAGTTCATCCCTACCCAGAAACCTGGCATTCTCCTAGATTCTCTCCCTCATAAGCACCTCACTCCTCTGTCTCCCAACTCATCTACCCCAATCTAGCATCATCTCTTCGGCCTGGGTAATCTTTCTAACACAAAAATCTTCCTGATTTTAATGATTTCTTATTGTCCAAAAGATAAAATCAAGACTCATTTGTCTATACCACAGGCCTCTGCCTAGTTAGACTTTCCTTCTACTGCTTCTCTTACACTTTGGGTTCCAACACACTCACCTACTTGTCATTCAAGAGGCTCTTGAATGTGATCTGTGGTTCTTTGCTATTCCTTTTACCTTTACATGGCTAACACCATGTTTTGTTTTACTTCCCTAGACAGACTTATGCCTCCTTTCAACATTAGAAAGTTATCACCTCATAGGTAACACTAAGCCCCTTGTCTCCTACTGTCTTTGTACCTAACATCAAACTTTGCCCCCAATAAGTGCTCAAATTTTGGTGGAGTGAACAATTTACCTTGATGCCTGTTCCATCTCAGCAATGATATTCTTCATGCCTGAAATGGTCTTTTCCTTGAAAAATAATACAAGTATTAAATTTAAAAATTATTTTAAATAATTTCTCTTAAAACTAAATGAACAAAAATAAATCCTCCCTTTTTGATTCCTATTCAGTTTTAAACATTCACATCTATTCTTTTCTACACTTTAAAACTAAAGCATATATATCAGTGTAGATGTACTGGATAAAAACAAGATTATGCTTATAAAAGACCATACTTAGGTACATTGGTATGAGATCAATATAGCAAATACTTTGTTAAAATGTTTTGTGTAGTCACCCAGCAACACAAAGACCCCATAATCACCCTGTTCTTGTTGGCAAACCAGTGGTTTGACATTGGAGTGTTGTATATTGGGAACAGAACTGATTTACCTCCTCACTTCTCCATGTTGTAAAACCCAGCAAAGTGAATTATTTAACACTAATTTAAATTCTGAGCAATAATAACTGTGATAAAGTAAATTATTTATATTAGTAATCACATCATCTTCAAAAAGCTATTCCAATTGAATTACTTATAAAAGTATACTATTAATTTTAGATGTAAGCTAATAAAAAGATAAGCATTAGGCCTAGAGCAAAAATATAAAAATAAACTACTGACATTCTCCCTTTTTGAGGGTATGGTGAGGGAGAATTAATGGAATCAGTTAAGGCTCAGGGTATGAATATCTTAATGCCATCAATACCATCACTACGCCTCCTCTTTCTAAAACTCTCATTGATCCTGAGGTAGTGACAGATAACTGTACACAAATAATTAGGGCTACATTAGACCTTAAAAAAAAAGGAGGAAAATTATTCTTTCACTAAGGAACTACATTTCATTTTGCCCTTTGAATTTTCAAATCCTTAATAACCAAGCAGTAAGATGAAAAACTAAATCCATAGTTAGTAACCAAGCAGTAAGATGAAAAACTAAATCCATATTTCCCAACCAGTTCTGTTCCCGTTCTTTAGAGAGACAGTTGTGTGTATGTGAGTGTATGTTAGTTATCTTCCTTTATTCATGTGCTCCTCTTGAGGTTATTTTAGCTCCAGTTTCCCATTCTGCTTTCTGGTAAAATGGTGCAGACATCTGGCAGTAATGGATATCAGAATATAGTTAAAATACATATTAGCAAAACAGTTAAACACCTTTAAGAAGCACAAGCCAATAAAGAGAAAATACTGCCTAAAATGGAATATTTACACAAGGTTTTAAAATATAACAATACATTTCTAAATAAATTATAAAAAACTAACTGAACTTCTAGTATTTCTGAAAGCCATTAGTTGGTTAAAACTCTAAATATGGGTTATAATGACTTCCTTTATCAGTAGAAATTTATATTGGAAGTAAGATTCTCTGAGAACATTGTAAAGCATCCGGACAATAAAATTATTGGGTAAAATCTAATATCTTCTTACCCTATTTTTCTCTTAATATGACCCTAATGTCATTATTTCCTAAATTGTTGAGATCTATGCCATCATTATCAATGTAATATTCCTTGTACAACCTCAATATGCTTATCCAGAGATACAGACTCAAGTTAATTATTAAAAATTCAATGTGAAAATGGTCATAAATCTACTTGGAAAAAAGAAATGAACTAAAATATTTCACAAATAGTTCTATTATTATTAAAAAACTGTGAACTTGCTATGGAGTTTTCTAACTTTAATTGGTAGCAACTAGTAAAATATCTTTTAAAACTATGATTACCAGAAAAAAATTTCTCCTTATTCACTATAATGTAGGCTTTTTCCATAGTAATCTATTTATGTAATCACAAGATTAGACTGTAAAATTACTGCTTTTTACTGAAGGGTATTTGCAAATTCAGTTCTGAAATACTATTGTAGAGAATATTTTCTCTTTTGAATGTCTAACACTGTTTTAAAAAGTTATTTTCCCTTCAGAGGATGGATGTGCTTACATTCGTGATCTTTTTTTTTTTTTTTTTTTTACATTCATGATCTTATTTGAAGGTCTTGATTTTGAGATGGACTTGCAAATCAGTATTCCTCATGAAGAAAAAAATAATGTTGGCAAGTTAGCAGAATCGAAGATACATGAAATATTAGATACAGCAGAGGAAAGCAATTCAGAAATTTCTAAATAATTTGTTTCTAAATGTTAGTGTTTTTAAAGAAAATCGTAACAAACTATTCAAAAAGTGTTCTGAATAAAATCAGAAGTAAAACTCCACTTCCCCAAAACCCATAAAATATCAAAAATATTAAGGCATAACTATAATGAGTCAGTCTTTTCCACAAATCAAAATTTACTATCTCATGAACTTAGATAGCAAGATCTCAATTGTGCTCATGATTCCCAAATCTATTAACTTCACTTCAACTTTCTCTCCAAACTTAAAAATCCAAGAGCCTATGACTATTGCAACTATGTGTTCCAAAGACATGTCAATAATCTTCCTAAGCCTGTTTGATTTGTTTCTTAGTTCATGCACAGGAACTATCCATGTAGTTTCTAAGTCAGAAAGCATATCTTGTCAATCTTCCCTAAAAGATCTATTTCTCTTACAGATACTGCTACTATCCTAACAAAATTCTTATTGTTTTACTCACGGCTGGTATCCTTGTCACTATACTCATTTCCCTATAGTCCATTCTTTACATGGATTAACAAGTGCCAGAATATTTGTTTCAACAAAAAGATCTAATCATGACACATCTTTTACAGTATTTCAATGATTCTCTATATCCATGATGATAGAGTCTAAACTCAGTATCACATGTATTTCTATGATTTGTTGCTTAACCGTCCCACCTCATCTTTTGCCACCCAGCCCTGCTCCCATACTGACCTCTCTTGAAATTCTTTTATGAAAGTCACTGGGCTTCCACAGAAGCTGCTTAACCTGTCTGGATCTCCCATTCTCTCACTGTCCCCTTTGTCTAAATCTTGTCCCGGCTATCCCTAGTCATCAGACAGCAGCCCAGGCACTTCCTGGAAGGCTCTCTAGATCTTTCTCCTCCCCTAATCCAATCCCCAGCCCGAATTAGATGTGTTTCTGCCTAACTCCATTTGCACATTGTGTACATATTGCTATTGCACTTAGCACATTCCATCAAGATAGCATCTTAATTTATCTTTCTCCCAATTATACTGCAGCCTAATGGAAGGCATACCACTCAACCTCAGTTTCTAACATTATACCTGGTACATGCCAATAAATGTTTGTTAAATGCATGGATGGGTGGATGGATGGACGAATGGATAAATGAATGAATTAGATCCCTTAGAGAGGGAAAAGACCTTATTATAATGATGCTACCTTCACTTAACTCATTTGTGGGAAACAGTTCAGGAATTGTCTTCAGAATTGGTTTATGAAATAGATAAGGGTATCAATATTTCTCTGCCTTTTTGGCAACACCTTTGTTAGTGTTCTTTGAACAACAAAAAATGTGGGATGGAGATTATCATCCATCTTTATTTACCAGCTACATATGATCTATTCTCAAAGGCTGAGGAGGATGCAAAAATATGCTCCTAGTTTTGAGCACAATCACAAAAGGCAGTTTTTTAATGGACATATTGCTTCCCAAAATGGCTGCCTGAAAATATAAGTTCTGGTGTTCTTTTAAAAACAAATCTATCTCACCGTTTCATTACTATGCTTCACATTTTGATATTTGAATTAGTTATTACCAGTGAATGTTAATCACAATTTATGAGGGAAAATCAATTTTAAAAATATTAGTGGACTTGAACACACAGTTCCCAAGATTATCTTGAAATTATCTTTGAAATTTTCCAAATCAGATTCTATAGTTTCAACTCTCTAGGAAAAAAAAATTGAGAAAATTCTATTATTTTATTCAGATTCAAGTTCAAACATTTCTTTTAAACCACAGTTCTCAGAACATACTTTCATTGCCAAACTCTCTCCAAGGGATGCAATATTCTCAGATTTTTTATCCAAACATGCTTGCAGGCATTCCTTTTCTTTAGCCAGATCGTTGAGGGTTGCACCAAGAATGCTGATTTCTTCTCTCTGGGCAATACTTTGCCTGGTAAAATTATCTAAATATGTAATCATAAAGGCATTGTTTTAATCAAGATAATTTTCTTTCTAGTTCAAGCAGATTAAAATGCTTTTCAAAGTAAATTCTCCTATATTGTGTTCAATGACTAAAAATAAGTACTGTATCCCAAACAAAAAATAGCTTTTGTTGTTAGTGATTAAAAACTAAGATGAATCATGAAATACTAAATGACTCATAAATGTAAAAGCACAATTAACACATTTAAATTAGAACAGCAAAGGAAAGCTCTATATCACAAGTTCTTGAAGTAGATTTACATGTGTGGTGGGGGAGGAGATGGTGCATGAGTGGTCAAAATGAGTGGAATATTAAATCAACCTGTGACCTCTCTCCCTCTAATTTCTCCACCATTATACTGAACTTGGTAACTAAAATAATATATTTAATTAGTTCATCTTCAGAGTCAAATGTCTCCTGATATTCTGATTTTTCTAAAGTAGGGTTATAAAAATTCCCAGGGGGGGAAAATCCCGTAAAGTCTGATTTGATTTGTGATAACAGTGTTAGTATTGTGCCAACAATGTCAGTATCGAAGGCCTGATTGACTGGTATAGAATAGCAGTTTTCAAATTGTGGTTTTTCATCCAGCACCATCAGCATCATCTGGGAACTTATCAGAAATATAAATTCTGAGGTCCCATACCAGAAATTCTGAATCAGAAATTCTGAGTGGGCAGAGCAATTTATGTTTTCAGAAACACCCCACCCATGTGATTCTAATGCATGACAAATTTGGAGAACCACTTGAGGAATTAGCAAAGATACAAAAAGCCTTGGCTATATCTTATTTCAAAGAGCCTAGCTACAGTGATGTTTATTAGCTCTCCAAGTAATTCTGACACACACCAAAGTTTGAGAAACCCTGGTCCAGAGCTCTACAAGGGAAGTTTGTTACACCATACCTCAAGGTAAATCCTTGGGAACAGTCATCCAGAGCAATGCTAAGGGAGGTAAAACCATATGCCAAGAGGATGATCTATACAGTACTTAAAAATACATCATGTCCCTTTTCCAGAGAGCACTGTCTTTAAGGTAAACCACATGTTTTGGGTATTCTGATATTTGAGTTCTTTCTCAATGGCATAAAATAAATACATTTTAAAACTCTAAAACACCTCTACATATCTCCTAGCTTAAAAAAAAATCCTCGACGTCACATTCCACTTAAGCTACCATACTGTTTTTCTGCTTCTGTTAATAGCTAAGTTAAAGAGACTTCTATTGTCTCCTGTCACTACCTCCTCGCTTCCCAATCATTCCTCAACCAACATCCAACACTCCATTCACACTTTTTTCGGTCAATGTTACCAAAACCTCCAATGTGCCAAATACAATCAGTATTTTTCATTCTTACCTTCTTTCTCAAAGATATCTGAATATTGATCATACCTTCCTTTTAAAACTATTTTGCTCTCTTGCCTCCCAAAATAACACTCACTTCTGGGTTCTCCTACTTCTTTTGCTGCTTCTTACTGAGTCCTGGATCCTCTTCTCTTTCTCTACATTTTCCCTAGGCAATTTCATGGTTTTAAAATATCATTTATATGCTGATGTGTCCCAGATGTTTATCTTTAGCTTAGATTTCTCTTCTGAGATAAAAACTTATCTCTTTAACTGCTTACCTTACATTTTTATTTAGACTTAAAATACCAAAAATGTCTTCTTTAATATTCCCCTTCTATAATTCTCTTATAATATTTACTATTTTAATAAAAAGCACTTCTACTCACCTAACTGTTTATGCCAGACATTTTTTAACTACAAAACGGAAAATGTTTAAAAAAAATACTCCCCATTTTAAGATGGGCTTTTTAATAGTCCTGACCAAAATTTTACTTTACAATTATAAGAAGATTAAGTTATGACCACATTTTCACAGAAATCACTGGTAAGAAACATAAATAGGATACTTCATAAAAACAATATTCTCTATGAACCCAAGTGATAGCATATAGTCAAACATATGTACATTTGCCACCAAAATAATATACAGATATGTACTATGTTTCATTATAACACTATGGACAAGACACAATGTAGTACAAACAATTGTAAACTTACAAGGGATCAGGACAAATTTACAAAATGTCACTGTTTTGTTCAGCTATTTCTTCACTGAAAAATATGAAGCCATGTCTAAATATTTATGGTCCTAAGTATAGTAAAAAAATTTTACTATCAAAGAAAAAACACATTTTTCCACAATTCTTAAGTGATAAATGTTTAATTTATGGGCTATTTCCAAGTTTATGTTATAACTAAACAGAAGAAAACACGTTTTTCTACCAGATTGTAAAATATATATATTTATCATGGGGAAAAAACTCACCAATTTTCTCATCCAAGCACATAATTTTCTCCTGAGTAAGCTGTAGCTCATACTTTTTCTTAGCAAGATGTCGCTGAGTATCAGAAAGATCTTTTTCTGTGTTTTCATATAAAAGTCTGTAAACATTTTAATAATAAAACTAATTCTGAAATTTTTTTGTTTTATCAACTTTTTAGTGTATTTAAATATAAAAACTGGTAAGGACAGTAATACACATTTTGTTTTAAATTTTTTAAATAAAAGTACATTAAAGGAAGTTTGGAGAATAAATAGTAAAAAGTTCTCCATCAAAATCTACTATTAGGAAAAAAAAAGCTACTATTAGCATTTTTGTGTTCAGTATTCAGTACTTTTTCACAATATATATTTTAAAGTTATCATACTATATATTCAAAATTGAATCCTGTTTTTTTCCACTTACACTTAATCTTTAATATTTTTTAGTCCTATAATACAGCCCTCCAAATCACCATTTTATGGCTGAAAAGTATTATATGAACAATAGCCATTTACTTTTTTTTTTTTTAAAGATTTTGTTTATTTGTCAGAGAGAGAAAGAATGCACAAGCAGTGGGAGCAGCAAGCTCCCCACCAAGCAAGGAGCTGGATGTGGGACTCCATCCCAGGACTCTGGGATCATGACCTGAGCTGAAGGCAAATGCTTAGCCGAATGAGCCACCCAGGTGTCCCAAACGTAAAGTACTCTCTTTTTTTTTTTTTAAAAGATTTTATTATTTATTTATTTGACAGAAAGAGAGAGTGCACAAGCAGGGGGAGCAGCAGAGGGAGAGGGAGAAGCAGGCTCTCCACTAAGCAGGGAGCCCGATGCAGGGCCTCAGTTCCAGTACCCTGGGATGATGACTCCAGCCAAAGGCAGACGCTTAACCAACTGAGCCCCCCCAGATGCCCCAGCATAAAGTACTCTTGAGACAACACCCACAGAAAACCAGGTTATCAGAAATACCCCACCACAACCGAAATAATAAAAACAAACCCCCCTCCAGTATATACACACCAACAGAAGTTACCATGAAAAAAAAAACATAAAACAAAAAACCACCCACTATCAAAAGCATAAATAACTGGTCTTCACTTCAACAAAGAAAAACCAGAGGAAAGTACGAATGCAGTCTCCCACTACCACAAATTATGCTGCTGAATTCCCCACATTTGGGGGAAATCACGGGGGTCAGCACATCTGGAGTGCAATGGATAAGCCTAGCCCTGGGAAAACCACCTTTGTGAGTATAAAAAATTTTTTGAAAATATAGTGAAATTCCACTGTAGTCCAAATGAAGAATCTTTTCATATGCCTTGATGAAGTATTATCTTAGCTTTTTTTCTTGTAAAGCAGCATTTAAAAATGCATGCTAAAGGCTCCCTCACTGGCTCATTCAGTGGAATGCACAACTCTTGATCTCAGGGTTATGGGTTCAAGCCCCACACTGGGTATAGCTATTACTTTAAAAAAAAAAAAAACTTTAAAAACTGCATGCTAAAATCAGAGGTATAAATGTAACAAGCCTATCAATTCACATGATAATGATGAGTCCTGAAAGAGGCATATACCTTCCAAGGCATACTGTGGCTATTCTTATGCTATTAAATTGCATTGCAGCCATACACTTTCCAAAAGAGCCATATTCCCCAGCACAACACAGGGATCCCTCTATTAAGAAAAACAAAATAGAAAATTACACACATAAGCAGAATTTCTAAAATCAGACCTTTAAATCACTGACCAACAAACCCACACCTAAAGCAGACATTTAATAGCAACTTTAGAAATAAAGCTCTTAGCTTCTTTTGCAGACTATTGTAACACTGATGTCAGAAAAGACTCTTACAACTCCTCTAAGATATATTTAGAACTTTAAACAACCGACTTTTCTTTTTTCCAAGTGCCCAGAGTCATAGAGGAGATTTTTGGTTGCTTCCAAGCTTGGGCAATTATGATTAAAGCTGCTATAAACATCGTGTGCAGGTTTTTGTGTACACATAAGATTTCAACTACTTTAAGTACAACAGAGCACTATATGATAAGAGTGTGTTTAGCTTTGTAGAAACCGCTGAACTGTCTAATAAAGTGGCTGTACCATTTTGAATTCCCACCAGCAATGAATAAGTGTTGCTATTGAACCACATCCTCACCAGCTTTTATTTTCAGTGATTGAGATTTTGTCCATTCTAATAGGTATGTAATGGTATCTCACTGTTGTTTTAATTTGTATTTCCCTGGTGACCTATGATGTAAAACACCTTTCATACGCTTATTTGCCACCTGGATATCTTCTTCGTGGAGATCTGCTAAGGTCTTGGCCCATTTTTTAATTGGGTTGTTTGTTTTCTTATTGTTGAGTTTTAAAAGAGTTCTTTGTATGTTTTAGATCCAGTTCTTTATCAGCTGTGTCTTTAGCAAATATTTTCTCCCAGTTTGTGGCTTGGCTTCTCATATTCTTGACATTGTCTTTAGCAGAGCATAAGTCTTTAATTTTAATGAAGTACAGTTAATCAGTTATTTCTTGCATGGACTGTGCCTTTGCTGTTATACCTAAAAAAGTCATCAACATACTAAAGTCATCTAGGTTTTCTCCTGTTATCTTGTAGAGGTTTTACAGTTTTGCATTTTACATTTAGGAATGTGATCCATTTAGAATTAATCTGAAGGTGTGATATCTGTGTTGCAACTACCTCTGCTCTATTGTATTGCTTTTAAAAGCTCCTTTGTCAAAGATCAGTTGACTATATTTATGTGGGTCTATTTCTGGGCTCTCTGATCTGTTCCACTGATCTATTTGTCTATTCATTTACCAATACCACATTGTCTTAATTACTGTAACTTTATCTCAAGTCTTGATGTCAAGTTTGACCAGTGCTCCAACTTAGTTTTTCTTCAATGTTCTGTTGCCTATTCTTTTGCCTCCCCATATAAACTTTAAAATCTGCTCACTGATATCCACAAATAATTTGCTGTGATTCTAATTAGAACTTACTGAATCTATAGATCAAGTTGAGAAGAATGGACATCTTGAAAATATTATGTTTTCCCATCTGTAAATAAAGAATATTTTTCTTTCTTTTTTAAAAAAAGATTAATTTATTTGCAGGGGAGGAGAGGCAAAGGGAGAGGGAAAGAGAATCCTTAAGCAGACTCCCTGCTGAGCACAGAGCCCAATTCAAGGGCCCAATCTCATGACTCTGAGATCACGACCCAAGCCAAAATCACAAGTAGGATGCTTAAGCAACTGAGCTAACCCCGGCACCCCTAGAATATTTTTCAGTTTATTTAGTTCCACTTCGATTTCTTTTGTACTTTTTTTTTCTTTTGTACCGATTTTGTACTTTTTCTCATATAGATCTTATACATAATTTGTTAGATTTACACTTAAGTATTTATTTTGGGGGGTACTAATATATATGGTACTGTGTTTTCAATTTTAAATTCCATTTCTTCATTGCTAGTATTAAAAAAACAACTGATTTTGTATATTAACCACATATCCTGCAATCCTGTAGCAACTGCTTATTAGTTCTAGATTTTTTGTTAATTATTTTGTATTTTCGACATAGAATATCATGTCATCTACAATAGATTTTAATACCGAAATCTTTTTGGTCTCAAATACCCAGACTCAAACTGAACTGGTCTTGGAATCACTGGACACAAAGACCCAAACTAACTTTTTATTACCAGAAAGCTCTATCAATCATTCAACTATATGGAAAATTCTTCTTGGGCCTACAGATGTTTCATACACTGATGCAGACACACAAGTTTCTTTTTTTTTTTTTTAAATCTACTTCTAGGAAATGTTCTGAAAATACTCTAGCTTTTTTACTATCATTGTCTGACACAGAAACCCAAAGAGAAGAACTTGTGCTACACTAAAATATACCTGTTTGAAAGAAAAGTTCACCTAAGCAGTATAGGAACACAGATAATGAGTATTGGTTTTGAAACACTGGGAAATTTCTTCTTCCACCAGCAGTGAAACCCAAACAGAAATGGAATAATTTCTTTTTGACTGATTTGGCTTGGAATACTATGGAACTTCAGTTTAGAGATACAGGAATCCAGATATGTGTGCTGAACGGCGCTCACGACTCAATTTCTAGTGTGTGTTCACACTAGACAGGACAAAACATAATTTTCTTATCAACTGACAAAACAGAAAACAGGAACAACAATATTTTAACTATATTCAATGTAGTTGGATTATGTAGCTTATAATTAGATTATCTGTAATTCCTTGCCTTTTGTACATGTATATAATATGAATATATTATAAAGTATAAGATACTGATTTATAAAAAATAAACTGACAGCTGACTTCTCAGCAGAAATAATGTACATCTAAGATAGTAGAAAGATATTATCAAAGTATTAAAATAAAAATAATTCCCAACTTTTAGAATTCTCTACCTAGCAAAAATATCCTTCAATATCAGCAAGGTTACAACAGGGGTGGTGAGAAATGCTCGGCTTTTGAGTATATTTTGAAGACAAAACAAACTGCATTGGATATGGATATATGAAGCCACAAATTATTCAGGGTTTCAGGCCAAGAATTGCATGAACAGACTTCCCAGACTAAGCTGGGAAGATTGAAAAAGCAGATTTATGTGTGTTGGAGGGTGAATGAAGGGTAGTGGGTAACAGAACTCAGGTTTGAAATGTTAAGTTTGAAATGTATGTTAGACATTCCAGAGATGAAAAAGAAGATGAAAAGGAGGTGGCTGGACATTCAAGTCCTGAGTTCAAGAAAAAAGTTCATGCTACAGATATACATTTGAGAGTCAAGAGTAAATACATGAGACTGGATGAGGGATAAGTACACATACAAGAAAAGAAGTGGTCTAAGGACTGGGCTGAGGAACACTCCAACATTTGCAGATTATGGAGATGAGGAGGAACTAGCAGAAGAGCCTTAGAAGGACATCCAAAGAGATGAAAAGAAAATCAAATGAGCATGGTACCTCAGAAGACAAATACGGAAAGTATTTAAAGAAACGGAGAAAAAAGCACAACTGAACATCTTTATCAAATGTTGTTGATAGGTCAAATAAAATGAAGACTGAGGACTGACTACTGAATTGAGTAACATGAAAGTAAATA